GTAGCAAAGTGATGGTTAACTAGTGTAACCGGGTAGGACAATCTAGCAGGTAACCGTAATGGAATGGTCCTCGTCATAGCGGTTGGCAATAGGCGTAGTCAATAGGCGTAGTCAATAGGCGTCTATGTAACTCCACATCAGTCTGTATTTATAGCTGACACCAGCCAATGATATTACTGTGAGGGGGAACCCAGGTGTATGCATATTCATTACATCACCTTTTTAAGGTGAGTCTTAGCTGCAAATATCTGAACTCGTGGAACTAAAGTAATTCGTCAGAGCATTTGCCAGCGAAATAGCGATAGAATAGAGATACGATTGCAACGTTGCGTCTGTAGGAGACGGATTAAAGCATGGGAGATAATTCATCGCCATGTAAATTTTTTTGAATTTTGCCGAGGCTAGAAAATTGGGGTGGGGGAAAGCACGACTCCATTTTTGGTCTAATTTAATTGATTTGTCATTTTTACCAGCCTAAAATTTGAAAACAGATCCTCGATTTCTCCTTCCGTGCCGCTAGCAATCACACCACCCGCACATCTCTTCTTTAATCCGATCTAGATATTCTAAAGAAAAAGTCAGGTAAAGTCAGGTATTTTCTGGGAGGCGGCCATTTCTCCAACATCTTTAGCGATGGATTCCACTTGAGGTCTAGAATGGACATTAGTCCCTTAATGATGCTCAAAACAACGAGCCACATTTAGAGTACAAGATTTTATCATGACTGCTGAGAGTTGTGGTCAGTTAGGCTAGAATCGACTTCATAATCAACATGGGAAGAAGTGGTCATCAACGGAAATCTATAGTAATGTGCTAATCTTAAAGGGTCCATTCTTCGTTGCGTAATCCAATTGGACTTATGCCAAATTCCTTTATTTGTATCTATCATGAAGGTAAATTAGTCACCCATTAGTTACGTCATGGTGGGGTAATATTTCACAGTGGAGAATACCACGGCAATGATAAGCGATGTCTCATAAATAGCACGGCTAACTCTGCCTTGGCTGTAAACATCAAAGAATTCTTTCTTCTTGTACGGTCAAGCGGTCAAATCACTAACAACTACGTGGATCATATGCAATTTTCTAATAAAAGTGAGACCCAACATCGAGCTACAATCGAAGTGTAGTGTCTGCTCTCCTAATGTCTGCTGTAATTCTGTCTTCGGTCAACTGATGATTTTTGTTGGTACGTGGACTTTGTCTCGTTGATTCCTAACTTACAGCAGCACCTCCCTCATTGCAATAAAAATGAAGGATTTGGGGTATATGAACATAAGCGTTACAGTGTTCGTGGAGACTAGGCACTTTTGGTCTTTGGTTCATATAGATGCATCCAGCCATCCCATATTAAACCGAGATTTGTCATATTCTACAACAGTAGAGAAATGGCTAAGCCCTAAATTAAAATCCCTTAGTCTTAATCACCTCACCCCAAGCAAGGCGGAAGTGACACTAGCATGGAAGGAGTTAGATAGATAGATAGATAGATAGCTAGATAGAGAGAGAGAGAGAGAGAGAGAGACAGACAGACAGACAGACAGACAGAGACAGAGACAGAGAGACAGAGCAAGTGTAAAAAGGGGTGTTTAAGGAAAGGATAAAGAAAAGGACTGGGATCGAGATCAAGTCTAAGCTGGAGATTTGAAATGTTGGCCTGTTCCACCGAATCCCTAACAATCATGTAAATCCCTGGGTAAATCATGTACATTACTTCGAATGTACACCTCATGAAAAGTCTTGTTAAAATATAGATTTCTACTCGACGTTGTTTTTAAACATATAGCACAATCAGATGTCTTATTGAAAAGGACCTGCAATCGGTTGTGGACTGGGGCAGGAATTGGCTGGTTATCTTTAATGCCTCGAAAACAAAACTGCTCTCTATTACTCGTCAGAGAGAACCATCCCTGGCCCCCATTAGAATGTCTGACGCTCAACTTCTCGAGAGCTCCTCTTTGCGACTACTCGGTCTCACATTGACTGCTGACCTGAGATGGAACAAATAAATTGAGTCAATCGCTTCGTCCACCGCAAGGAAAGTTGGCTCCCTGTGCCGCGCCAGGAAATTTTTCGCGTCGGTGCCGATCCTGCAAATCTTCAAATCAACCATTCGCCCTTGCATGGAATATTGCTGCCATATATGGTCTGGAGCACCTTCTGTTTCTCTCAAGGTTCTTGATAAGATCCAGAGACGGATATACAATGTAATTGGCTCTGACCTGACATCTTCTCTGCAGTCATTCTTTCACAGACGTGCCGTCGCCTCTGTCTTTTTTATAAATACTTTCAGACTTCATGAATTTAAGCTTTTAACTAGGCTGGCATTTCGCTCACACCATTTCACTGTCGAAACGGTTAAATATAACCGTCTCTTCTACTCCAATAGCTTCATGTCTCGCACTTCTCGCCTGTGGAACTCCCTCCCCTTTTCTTGTTTCCTTGATAGCTATAATCTCCAACTATTCAAATGTAATGTCAATCGACGTCTCCAGATGCCTTGATCTATCTCATATCCTTCTCTTCATCATTTCCTCTATCACTCCTATTTGCTCTAGCTCCAACTCTCTATAACCCCTTGCGAGCTTGTGACTTCTTGCCTTGATTGGGGTAAAACGCTTAAAAAATAGTGAAAGATGACTTCCAAAAGTTAAACAAAATATGAAGAAAGAGAAAAAAATCGTTCAAAACGAAGAGAATAGTGCTTGATTGTTATATAATATCAGTGTTTTTGTACAGCAGTTTTCTCAAAGACGAAGAGGAAAACTGATATGCGATTCTACAGACGGATGCTGAGAATATGGTCGGTGAATGTTAGAAAGAAAGGTTTAAGCAATATGGAAGTAAATGAACACTTATTCTAAGAAAATGACCATTGGAATTTCTGGGAAAACTAATGAAGAAAGAAGGCTTCGTAAATTTGGCACTCACAAGATATGTTAAAGGCAAGAAAGCACTTGTGGGAATCTTGCCTGGAACGTTTATTATGGCTCATGCTCACGCCAGACTTGGAACATGTTTATACGCTCCATTTTAAAGACACTGCAAATATGGTTCAGTGTATCACTCCAGAAAATACCTGACTCCTGCTGCCATGGTCTATCCCTGCTAGAATAATTTCAGACCAATTCTTACTTTCTAGCCTCGACGTATCTCAAAAACGTTTACCTTGTCTTGTGAGTGATAAACTGTTTTCCACACTTCAGGCCCTTTCCCACCGATGGAAGGATGCTAACCTTCCCGTAATCTACCGCGATTTTCATGGCAGATACTCGAGTGAACAACATTGATTGGTTCCACCAGTCCAGACCTTCGCACCTAGAGCCCGCCACTCAAAATACACTGAGTCGACCCAATCTCATTCTTTCATATTCTGTAATAAGTTCCACACTGACAGCTTTTTCACTATAACTGTTGCAAAGTAAAACGGACTCCCGATGGGGTGATTTCCAATATCAACATCTTTATGTCGAGGATCAACTGTTATATATCTTACATATCTTCATAATATGGATCCCTTGCTCCCTCTTTACACACGCTTACAACATCCCCGTTCAGTAACCCTCTTCCTTGAGTGGCACTTGGGCCTTACATTCTTCTTTTTCTGTGTCACTTCAGGACGTTGGCAATCATGTCTCTCCATAATTTCGTGTCTTTTGTTACTGTTATTCAATTTTGTACGAATACGTGAGGCCTTTGTATTGCGTGAACAATATTTAACAAAAGGTGGTAGAACGGACTGGGAGGTATAATAATAAGATAAACATTACTTAAAACAAGAAAGAATAGAAAATGTAGAGAGCCATGAACACCCATGTCTAGAAAGAACACGGCACGTAAATAAGAACTCAAAATTAATCAAATCAACGATTATAGAAATCATAAATCTGATTTGAAAAGAGATGTAAAAGATTTATGTAGTAACATTAAAATATTTACCGTAATATATTAATTCGAAACTTATAAAAACACAATGGATAATAAATAACTTGAAGGAAATATTTATGAATAATATTTGGTTTATATGAAGGCAATATGATCAGGAATTCACTAGTTTTCGTCTTTTCTGCAATATTCATTTACGTGAGTGTTCATTTTAATACACTGATGCACAGGTCTGTTTGATCTTTTGCTAAAGTCATTACACGTCCTCTGCAGACGTATTGTGTCATCACGCTTCGATTGCTTCGTCGATGAAACAAATTTGACGTGTTTGAGAATTTGCAAATACAGATTATTAAGTGAATAATTTTCATCAATACAGTTAGCGTTGATATGAATTTTATTATAGTTGTGCAAGGCATTTAGCTGCCTGGTCTGCTGAGTGAATGATACAACTTATGATCCTAACATGTAAACGTTTCCGAGATCAGCCACCCTAACTTTGAATTAATTACAGTCTTTAAGCAGGCATTGTTAATCCTAAATACATTTGAAAATATTTTAAATAATTTACTTCCTTTCTATTTTTCAAACATTTTTCTGCCATCTTCCTTTTGTTTTTATGCTTTCATTCATATATTTATTTTTGTCTTTGTTGATTTATTAAAAACTTTCATTCATTCTTCGGTTTTTGAAAAATATATATTTGTCTTTTCTTTTCATTTGTTTTCCATTTTTGTTGGTAACTTTTATGATTCATTTATTCTTCTCTTTTATATTGAAAATATTTAAATAGAAATTTTTTTTTAATTTCATTCATTTTCCTTTTTTATAATTTTATTTAGTATTTTCGTTTATTTTTTTCTTTTTATTTCTTCCATTTTATGATTGAATTTTTTTCATTTCTTGTTAACTCATTCTTTTTTTCTTTGGTTTCATTCATTCTTCTCTCTTAGATATTTTATTTCTTTGTTTATTTCATTTATTCTTTGTCAAATCTATAATTTTTTCTTTTTTCGAAGTGCCTTTTCTTTTTTTGTTTTCATTCATTGCTCTGTTTATTTCAGTCATTTCTCTGTATTTTTGTTAGATCTTTCTCAGATTAGATCTTTCCCTTATATGATTAATTCTTTTCTTCTTTTTCTTTCTATGATTTTAGTTATTCTTCGCTCTTTGTTACGACTTTCTTTTTTCTACGTTCATTCATTATTTTCTTTTTGTTAAATCTTTCACTCTATCTTGGTTTCATTCATTTTCTGTTCGATCTTTCTTTTTTTTTGTGATTTTCTAATTTCATTCATTCATTCTTTCTTTCTTTGGTTTCATTTATTCTTCCTTTTTTGCTAGGTCTTTCGCAAAATTTATCATTTTGGTGTTCATTTGTATAAAACTGTTTATATTTGGAAACTTTATATATGCTGTTAATTTCTTCCACGAGATAAAGATGTACCATGTACAGTTGATTAACCAATAGTTAAATGAATTTAGAAACAATATATATATATATATATATATATATATATATATATATATATATATATATATATATATATATATATATATATATATATATATAAAAAATAAAAAACCTAGGTTTCACCTACACAGATTGTCAGGGTAAACTGGCCAGTTAACCCTGACGATCCGTGTAGGTGAAACCTAAATAGGTTTACCTAACTCTTTAGGCTTTATATTAGGTTTTCCTACTTAGTGTATTGAGCATTTTACGTGGTTACTTTTACTTTTATTTTTACTCGTTTGGAGGTTTTTTTTCTTTGGACTCTGACCATGAAATCTGGACAATTGTTTTCGCCTCAATTTCCTATTCTTAGTTCTTTCTTTTTTTTATTCCTAGTTTTTCCTTGGACATTGGTTTGTTCAATTACAAGCCAAAGCACCTAAGGTTTTTTCCAAACGTGTACCACTATATATATATATATATATATATATATATATATATATATATATATATATATATATATATATATTGGTAGTCATTGGAGTATTCGTTTCACCGGGAGTACACCAAAGACGTATTCTTCCTTGATATCTAAGCGTAAAGGTGTTCGTCACTCCAGATAACATCTTCCTAATCAGATTTAGTCCAGTGTAAATGAGCTTTGCTCCAAGCCAACCCGTAAATTTTTTTCCAGATACGAAATGTTTTCTTTTTTATGTATTTGGGGAAAATACCCTTTGATGAAGCCTGCGTCTGACTGTTCTTGAAGAAATCGCTAAACTAACCGCTTTGGAAACAACTTGTGCTGTTGCGAATCGATCTTTTTTGTATTGGGGAACCAAGTTTCTATCTTGTCGGCAGTTTTTAGCGGTCGACCAGATCCGCTACGTCTATTATATGTTCCAGTTTGATTTCTCTTTTTGATTAATTTGCGGATACATGACTCACTTTGATTAATCTTTTCAGCTATCGCTCTATTCGACAGTCCCAAATCATGAAAAGCTGCGTCTTGGCCTTTCTTGAATCAGAACAATTCTTAGGCATGTTGATAAATGTAAATACAAATATAATAAGCTTTATACTCTTTTTTCAGCATCCTTTCTATGGATGCGTCCATTTTGTTTTTACCTCGTACTGCATCTATATTAATAAGCTTTTACCTATGGTGTGTATCACGCTTGGGAGTAGGAGGAAAACAGAAAAATAGAAAAGCAGAAAAATTAAAGCAGAAAAAGTTTGAGGAGCGTATAGAGTTAAAAAGGAGAGTGTAAAACAATGATAGGGGTTATATTAGATAGAGGATATTTCAGTATTTTTAAGTGAGTCTGTCACTTTCCTGATAACTATTTGGAAATGGTCGAAAAGCCCAGAGAACAACATAAAACAATATTAGCAAATGTGTGTAATATACCTGGCTTCTGCTAGCATGTAATAAATACAGATATTAGATTTTGAAGTTCACATGATATATTTTACATGTAAATGCATCCCTAAAATGACGCTAACACTGTTTGGTAAATTACAATTTTATTGTAATAACATTGATTTGCGTTATTTCTGACATATCATTATCATCATAAGTTCCATGAACAGGTGTGGCCGGAGCGTGGCTGCGCAGGTGAGCAAGGGACCAGTTCTGTCCACTTGTCTCTGTTCCGTGTCATTGTGTGACTTACGGAATGATCCTCTCATAGACATTGTCAGCACATTCGTTCCTCCGTCTGCCTCTTCTCCTGTTGCCTAATATGGAACCTTTCTTGATATGGAGCCTAGCAGCGAAAATAATTTCAGGCTATTATGACGGGTCTATTCCATTTCAAATTTCTCTTCTTGACAGTTTATATGAGGTCTTCCAACGGGCTCTGATATTGTCTCGCACTGTTTCATTTGTCTCGATGGTTCTGTAGCATTTCATGTTTAATGCAAATATAGTTTACTGATTGGTTAATTAGATCTTTTCATTTCTGAAAGGAACATAGCCAAATTTAACAATTGTCCTATAAAGCGTGTGGGTGGCGTGGACGTTTTTAGTATGGAAAGAGAAATCACCGTGCAGAGTTCAAACGCATTCACTTTCCTGTTAATGCCGCACTTTTTCCACGCCTAGCTATGGATTAAACAGCAGAGTAAACGGGGTTCTCTAGCCGTGGGTAGCAACCAGTCTAAGAGACGAAAATCTTTGAATATTTTACAGTAGTGACGGTAACGAAATACCAATCCATTTTCTTTTCCAAAAACACGGGGTAATTCACATATAACGAAGAAAAAGAAGCTGAGGAGAGCCATGATCGCCTACGTCTTTATAGTATATAAATTTCGTGAGTATTAAATGTTTTCTTCCTTGGTATATTTTTCACTTACATTTAGTTAAAGCCTTCCCTTTCTATCGTTATTAAGAATTATGCTTAATAAACGATCAGATTTAAATTTCTTTCTGCAAATCCAATTCAATATGTGATCTTTTTGAATACCCGTTGAAAGATTTTTCATAAACTATTTTTTCTTTCGATTTTCAATTTGTTTTTAGTTATCACTGTCAAACTGCATATAAAATTTTCTTTCTTCCTTTTTCATGTCTTTCTTTATCATTTTATTCTTTCTTTCTTTCTTTTCGATATTTTTTCTTTCCTATCCGATTCTTTATTTTCCTTTTCTTTCTTTTCATTTTTCATTTTTTTCTTTCTTTCTTTTTTCTTTCTTTCTTTCTTTCTTTTTACTTTCTTTCTTTTTCTTTCTTTCTTATCGCTTTCTTTTTTCTTTTCCCTCTTTTTCTTTTATTTCTTTCTTTTCCTTTTGTTTCTTTTCCTTATCTTTCTTTCTTCCTTTCTCTCTTTCTTTCTTCTCCTTTTCTTTCTTTTTCTGTTCTTTTCTTTCTTTCATTCTTTTTCTTTTTTGTCTCTCTTTCTTATCGCTTTCTTTTTTCTTTCTTTCTTTTTTCTTTTCCCTCTTCTTCTTTTATTTCTTGCTTTTCCTTTTCTTTCTTTCTTTTCCTTTTCTTTCTTTTTCTTTTCTTTCTTTTTCTTTTCCTTTCTCCCTTTCTTTCTTTTTCTTTTCTTTCTTTCTTTCTTTCTTTCTATTTACTTTCTTTTTCTTTTCTGTCTTTCTTTCTTATCACTTTCTTTGTTATTTCTTTTCTTTATTTCTTTCTTTTCCTTCTTTTTCTGTTTTTTCTTTCTTTTCCTTTTCTTGCTTTTCCCTTTCTTTCTTTTCTTTTCTTTCTTTCTTTACCTTTTCTTCTTTTGTCTTCTATTTATTCTCTTAAGTTCTGTAATTTCGGTTGTTGGTCTTTCATCTCATCTTTCTCGGCCATCACATTCAATATATTGTCTCCTCCCTTTTCCCTTACCCGACTCTTGTCTTTTTCCGCATCCTCCTCCTTTTGCAGGAGTCTTCTCTCTTTATCTCTGTAAAGCGATCCTAATCCCCAATGTGTGTCCGCCCTCGACTCATTTTCCCTTTTGTCAAATTGGCCCATTAAATAAGACATGACACTCAATTTTTCAATGTTATCTCGCTTAATGCTATTCACTTCGATAGGCAAACCGCAACGTTCACGATTATGTGGTTTAGCGCCGATTGAAAATTCAGATTTTTATCAACTTCTGAACGAGGGCCACCCAGGCTCTGTCATGACACCACCGACATCCAACAACAGATTCTACTGATAACTTTTATGAGCGTCTAATTGTGCGCTATGGTCTGTGGACACGAATGCACGTGACATTAATCGGAGTGGGGGTCAATTTTACGAGCTTTTAGTCCACTGGTGAGCGTACCAGTATTTAAAAATTGCAAGAGATTCTGGAAAGACTGGTCCAGCTCAGAAGATGAAAAATTATAGCACAAAAAAGAAAAGAAAAAACAACAAAACAGACATATTCTTTCCTCTGCGCGAAATTTTCATATAAAGTCCGGTTCAACTGGAATGGAAACACTGATGTTAATCCACAGGTACAACGGCGCGACAATATGCACACTTAAGGTATAGGATATAAGCCTTATTTCCCAAAAAATTGCATAACCACATACATACCATATTAAAACTTGCCCAGAGTATATTTTCTATCCAATAACAGATAGTATTACGAACGTGTCAAAAAGATTTCACAATACCCCAAACATCGTTTAAATTAAAAGTGTCTATTGGTTAGAAATTAATATCACCATGTAAAACATTTGAACGAGCCTACTTTTAGGGAAAACATTCTCATAAAACCCCACAGATTTCAACTTTAAGTAACAGATATGCGGCTGTCTCCAAGCCAAACACGTGAAAAGACGTGGCTATATAGCTTTTTCTTCCCACACTTCCAGCGCGTGCTGAAAGGAACATGTGTCGGCGCCTTCAAACGTATCAGTTACAACAACAACAGCTTGGTCTGTCAGTGAATTTTCGCTAACGATCATGTGCTGGCGACTCCAAACAAAACATCTCCAACAACTACAATAACAAGAAAAACGTTCAGTGAAATATCGCTAACGATAATCTTTTCTCAAACGCAGCTTTTTTTTGTGTGGACCAACTATTTAAAAATCTTTTCTAAACTTCATATTTTTCTGTGTATCGACTATCTAACGACGTTAAATCAACTAATGACTATTTTTACCCCATTCCGATGTTTTTGAATTGCTATACATGTTTGCAATTACAAAAGATATTCTCATTTATTTTACTTTTATTGTTTGAAATTCGGATGTTCGGGCTTTTAATATAACAGAATCCTGGACAATTGAATTTCATAGAAAGGATCAATAGAAAAATTTCTTCACATTCATTGCTTAGAACAGAGATGGGTAAACTACGGAAAAGACTGATGAATTTTCTGCGGCTCGCAAAGCACAACAAACTTTATTTTTAAAATATCCATTTATAGATATTGCTATTTTTGTTAAAAATTGCATAAAAGCTTAACTTCTACGAAAATGAATAAAAAGAACAAAAGATGCAATGCAAAATGATGTAGGGATCTAGGTGCCTGTATATATATATATATATATATATATATATATATATATATATATATATATATATATATATCACTTCAGCGCTTTGTTGTGTACATTTCTTATAATTTACCGAAATTTTATTATTATAAAATATTTCCTCCGGTGAACAAATCTCAGTAATAGTTGGTCAATTGCCATCGGTGATACACGCTTGAACGATCATGTATATTTTGATTCATGACTGACTAGGCAGAAGATTTTTCTTTCTGCTCTAGACTGGTTGCCAACCACGATATAAGACTCAGTCCTGTTATTCAACCCATAGCTGGGGCAAGAGATGAATTAATACCTTTCCCATGGTTATTTGCGTTTAAGTGAATATAATGAACTCAACTGGAATTTGAACTCTGCTCTCCGATTTCTCAACCCGAGCAGTTATCCATTAAACGACACAGCCACTCACTCAGAATTAGTAGCAAATGTATTAGATATTCAAATAATTTCTCATATGACGTGCAGTCTATTCACAAAATGAAATAAGCAAATAAATTAGCAAATAAAAAAAAAATAGGTTATCCCATTTCGTCTGGTATTTATGCTATATATAATATTTAGAGCTGCTCTAAAAATACAAAGAAGAATCTGCAATTTTATTGGTCCTGACCTGGCATCTCGGATTCAGTCACTTTCCCACCACCGTAACGTAGCTTCTCTTTGTTTTTTCTAAAAATATTTTCGTGTTAATTGTTCTGATGAGCTTCCCTCTCTGGTAACCGACCTTATGAATTTGAACTCAGTAGATTGGCGGCAAAGTCTCGTAATTTTACAGTTGAAATGGTGCGATGGAACCGGAAGTTATATGATGACAATATCTTTTTTCGCACTTCTTGCTGGTGGAACTCATTTCCGGCTTCGTGCTTTCCTGTCGACTTTGATTCTCAAAAATTTAAATACAATCCCAATCGTTATGATATGTCTTCATTCATGTTTTTTTTATTGTTTTCACTCCTTAATAATATTTCCTTTTTCTCCCATAGTTTATACAACTGAAATTGTTTCTCGTATTTTACTTATTATAAAACGCAGATTGTGCGCGCGTGTGTGTGTGTGTGTGTGTGTGTGTGTGCGTGTGTGTGTGTGTGTCTGTACGTTTATATATTGGATCGGTTTTCTTACATTTTTCAACCGATTTCAACAAAACTTCCTGGGACTACGTAAAATTACCTTGCGGTGGTTCTAACAGCGCCAAAATTAGAAAAACAATTGTTTTTGCACGAAATCAATTTGAAAACACGATTAAGAGGCATCGCGAGAATGAAAGGGGGACAACTCATATTGAGTTGTACTTATTATAAAACCCAGGTTTTGTGTGTGTGTGTGCGCGCGCGCGCATGTGTGTGTTCGTTTATATATGGGATCGGATTTCCTACATTTTTCAACCGATTTCAACAAAACTTCACTTTTTGGGGCAGGTAGTGTTTCTTATTGTCTTGCACACTTTTTTCTTTATCTTTAAATACAGAATGCTTTAAAAATTCCATTTACAAGACAATTGTTTATAATAAAATTCTATTCAATCGATAGACCCATAACAATTGAAAACAATGTTTTTGTTTGAGTTTGGGTTTGACCAATTCGTAAAAAAAAAAAAAAAAAAACTAATTAAGACATGCGTGTCCGTCAACCTTAAACAATAATCTTTGTCTATTTTATTTTTCAGTCTTTATGATGGTCGATACTTGATCTATCTCTTACTGTTACATCCCCGGGCAACGCCGGGCTCTCCTGCTAGTTGTTCAATATTAGAAAAGACAGTAAAGTAGAAAACGAAATCGAACATAGCCTAATGTGTGCTAGGGGTTCTTATGTCCAACACCATAAGATGCTACAGCAGCATCTTATGTGCCGTGTCTCTCCAGGACGTAGGCGATCATGGCCCTTCACTTTCCCCGTCTCTTGTAGCTCTCAATGTTTTTATCCCTTTGCTGCTTCCCAAAGGCTATGTTTTGTCATTTACATGCTTAAGCTCGCTAGGTATGTCATGCGTTGCTTCCTCTTGTCCCTTTTTCTCTTTATTCGACCTCTGAGTATCCGATTCTCCAAACCCTCCTCTCTCATTACGTGTCCCAGAAATTTCAGCTGCCTCTTCCTGATGTTAAGAATAAGCTTCCTCCTTGTTTGCATCCTCTGCAAAACCTCGACGTTGCTCACACACTCGGTCCATGATATCCTCAGCCTCCTTTTGTAGAACAATATCTCCGTTGCCTTGTGTCTCTTCTTCATCTTTGAGGAGGCCGTCCAGCATTCACTGCTGTAAAGGAGGACAGACGTCACGTAGCGGTTCGGTACTCTTTTCTTTGTTGCCAATGAAATACTCCTGCCTCGTAATACTCTGCCTAGCTTTTGGAATGTGTCTTTGGCCATCTCAATACGTTTTCGTCGCACTTACTCTCCTCTGTCAAATAAATAGAAAACTCGAGTCATGTTCTTAAATAGCCTTTTCAGATCTAGACTCTCATATGGGTTAGATTTTTGTTTTTACGGCTTATCAACCCTTTCCGGATTATTTAAAGCCAAAAGATATTTCGGATTGTATGATGCTGCTTACAGTACACGGTATTCGGTAATGGTCCCTCATCTAAGTACTGATCCGAGGGAACGCTGCTTAAGCAACTCATCTGTCGCACTTCTCGGTTGGAGAACACACCTGCAGTTTCTAGATTTCCTGTCAACTTTGACCTGTCAAAATTTAAATGCAATGTCAATCAACATCTGTCTTTTTTTTAAAAAAAATTCTTTTATTGTTCTTCAATTATTTGTCTGTATCTCTGAGATGAGATATTATGATTACATTATTTACATTATTCGTACTTTTATCCTTATCTTCATTGCCATATTCACAACGTTTCAGCCGCTTCGGCCTTCTTCAGGTGATTAGAATTCCGAACCAAACCATCCGTTCGTTCTAGTTCCACGTGCCATGCCTCTTCCAGATATCAGTTATCTCTTTTTAACTCAACTCTCCAAGTTTTTGGTTCCCCACTGCTGTAGACTGGTATTGAACTCCCAACTCATTGTGTCTAGTCACTTAATCTAACCAACGTCTTTATCCACTGGGCCACCTACCCTGGTACACAAAATAATGGATTCGGTTCGAAATTCCAGTCCCCTGAAGAAGGCCGTTATGAATATGGCAATGGAGATGAGGATAACAGTCCGAATAATGTAAATAATGCAAGTAATTCTTTATTATTGTTTTTTCCTTTCATCACACTTAGAAACCTCTTGGCCTTATTGCCTTGCTTGGGGTGAGTGGATAAAAAATATACAAATAACATGCACATATATGATTGTGTTTTATATTGTTGCCGTGAAACTCGAGTTGCTACTGCGATAAGATTCACTTTACACAAGGCAAACAATGATTCAGCCTTTCATGAAAAAATGTTTGCCCATCCCATGTTTAGAAGAAATCTTTCAGCAATATTTTTTTTTCTGTGGAGAAGAAAAACTTACTATCATCTTATTAATAGCTTGTGAGA